AATAATAATAATAATAATAATAATAATAATATATGATATAAGTCATATATACTGACCCAAGTTCTAATTATCTATTCGCGGGTTATAACCTGTATGCATTTCACGTTACATCAAAGTAAGAGAAAAGTTTTAAAAACTTCAAATTTAGCAAATTTGCAAGTTTATAAAAAAATTCATTTTATAAAAAAACTTTATTTTTAATTTCATTTTATTTTCCAATTTCTATTTTTTCCCAGTTTTCTTTTTCATTTTCAGTTTTTCAATTACCTTGTATATTTTTCTTTTTTCAATTTCATTTCAAATATTATTCAACTCTGCACCTGTGACCCTGCATCCCCTCCCTCGTTTTCTACCAAACCCTTCATGCTAAACTAATTATGTTCATACATTCATGAAGCTAACATTGATCTAACTATCTTTACATAAACTTTCACGAGACAAGTTCCATATTTTCTTTCTCAGCAACAAGGCTCATCTTTCCCTGGCCTTCTGGTGACATTTCAAGTTTTCTTACATCCTCCAGTGTCTCAGGCAGTTTCACATTTAAAGTTTCTGGTAGCAATAGGGCAAGTGCACCGGACAGCAGAAGCATTCCACCAAATATAATAAAAGGTACGGCCTCAGCTGTGTATTCGCCCTATGGAAAAATATTGTTAAGTTGCCGCTGTAAGTCAAAATATGGTGGTCTTATATGATGCCAAGGCCTAGGAAAAATTTATTACACTTGGGTTAAAACTGAATTGAAAATTGGGTTAATTCGCTGGGGAGGTCTGCAGTCTTAAGGGAGGGAGGTTGCCCCGGGATAATCAAACGCAACAGTTAAAAAGAACATAATGAAATTAGTAAAATTGCAAAATTTGGTAGCGAAATGTTGTAAAATACAGAAAATATAGCCTTGTGAAGTTTGCATATTACAATTTCCGCACGTAATACAAACATACTGAAAATATGCAAACTTCGCAAGGCTATATTTTCTGTATTTTACAATATTTCGTAACCAAATTTTGCAATTTTACTGATTTTAATAAGTTCTTTACGGGAATTTACTTTTTTTGCTCAAATAAAAAAATTAGTCTAACATGCAAGTTGTCTATTAACATCTTATTTGCTGTATATAATAAATTCAAAGGTGGAGCTCATGCTGCCTGCCATCACATGATTACCTTAAATAGAATAAATTGATCATTTTTGTGTAGCTATGGGACCCTTGACATCCCTAAGCTTTTGACACCCTCTACATACCAGTAACAGAATTTGCGGTGCTATGATGCCGCCAAATCTTGTCCAGAACATCCCTGCTCCAACACCTACGTTCCTACAGTAAAAATTATATAAAATATATACACAATCTTGCTATCTAAAACTGAGAATGGTAATGAGACGATATTTAATACATACCGTATCGTAGTAGGGTAAAGTTCAGAAGTATAGATAAAACAATTCGAAAAATTTCCACTTAGGGACATTCTTCCTGCTATCGCAAAAATCATTACAAGGGTCTGGACACTTCCTGTAACAAAACAGAAGTTGAAATTATGAATGTTATACTGATAAAAACAGTTGGAGCAGGTTTTAGCTTCATTTGTAAGTTTGCAAATGACTGTATGTACTCCTTTCTCTCTCTCTCATTTTAACTTTTTGTGCTATTACATATTCGTCTTTGTCAAGAACAGTTTTAAGTGTTTTTTTTTTTGGTTAGGACAATAAAAAATTGAATGAAATGTAGAGTGGCAGAGAAGGCGAGGGAAACAAGATTGAGGTATGACTGAAATGTAATAAGAAGAGACGAAAAAGGACCAGTTTATCTGAGGTGAGGATTAGAGTTGGCCGAAAACGGATGAACTGTGTGAAAGAAAATTTAAATATGAAAGAGCTGATGGTGAGCATTGCAAGGGGAGAAGGAGATAAGAAGAATCGCAACAGTCAGCCTTGAAGATCTGAATATCAAGGAATTGAAGAAAAGAAAGAAATTGGAGTGAAGAATGTTAGCAGCCAACTTCGAATAAGAGCCAGGGATAAAAGAATATCGGAAAGTTCGGAAAATATATCGAGGAATTAAATGACAGAAAGAGATTGATGGGATGAATCCTAGCTGCCGACCTTGGATCAGTCCGGAACTAAATCCTGCTTAAAGAAGAAATAAAAAGTAATCCGTTAATCTCTTATCTCTTTACATCAGAATATCTTACTGTTTGACTTCGACAATCCTCCTGCAATAATAAGAGCTATTCCACCGATAAAAAAGTAAACAGACAATGACTTGCGTCGTCCAAACCTAGATTATTAAAAATATTTAACTATTATTTTCCATGTTTAGACGAGGGCAATACGGCTTTATCCCGTGTAACACGCTCTCATTTTTTTCGTGTTCTCATGACCTTATTTGGAAAAATCACGCCTTTGTCATATAATACAAAATGGTATATCCTGCTCTTTGTCACCATAAGTAAGGAACGTCTTAACAAAAGTTATATTTTTTAACATGATTTCAAGTCGAGGATTTGAAAATTAAATACATTTTTACTCAAAATCAAGCTAGGTGGCGGATTTGGATTAAAAATTTACTAATATGGTTGAATAATTTTTATATCATGCGATTTTACTTGGTATTAGTCATTCAGAAATGAGGAATTGGAGCTTTAGAATATCAAAACATTGCAGCGCGAAGAATTTGATAGTTTTGACAGATTTTTTGTTCAAGTCCGCCATCTTGAATTTTGAGTAAAAAAATCTAAATATATCTATTTTCTAATTCTTGACTTGAAATCACAATTTTTAATCACACATACACAAACTAAACATGTAAGTTCAAATCAGACTCAAATCAATTTATTCACACTATTTTTAATATATATATACATTATTAACGTAAGTGTTCATTCAAGTATATAAAAAATAGAATGAACGAAAGTTTTTAAAAATTTGCACGACGGCCTAAACAGAGGCGCCGGAATATCGATAATTGGGGGGCAGATATTCATATATTCGTGTTCTGCCCAATTAATTTCTTTTGAAATCGATTGTTTTTACAGTCTGTGAACACGAATATATGAATATCTGCCCCAGCTATTATCGATATTCCAGCGCCTCTGGGCCTAAAAGAGCATCAGCTTTCGAGTTAACAACCGTCTACGTATGAATAAATAACGCTAGCAGTTGACCTAATAATGTTGTGCAATATTTTTTCTCTGGATTATTTGAACGAGAGTAAAAGAAAAAGAAAGGAAATAGAATGAAAATAAGAACGGCCATTAATATATGGAAATACTTGTAAATTAGGAGAATAATTTGAATAATGAATGACATTATCATTGATTAATTGCTGCCGCAGCGAGGTCGACCGAGCAAGGCAGGCTGGCAGCAGACATGATCTTTGAAATGGGGGTTGAAATCTGAAGTTTAACCAAGCGCGATGCATTATGGTCACCGGTATTTTTTACAATACTCGGCTGTCTGCGGTCGCAAGACATTTGTGTATACATTTAAAACATTTAATGGGCCAATTTTACTAGAAACGTTAGTGGCTTACTTCTTCGCTGGTTACAACCAGCCTGGTTGTTATACTTTAAAATATTTTTGTTTATACCGAGAAATCAATATTCCGAGTATATAAATATATAAACTGGGATGTCACACTGAAATCTTGTTTACATTTCCTGGAGCATCAAATCTTATATGTTTAACCACAGTGGTTTATTAGCTGGCAATGCGCCCTTCCTTTGTCCAGCGCCAGAAGATTTTACTCGTCAGTGGTATAGGGTACTGCCAGTAAATGCATGGTTAACAAACCTATCTGCCAATGTCTTACGTCTCTTGTTAATCCATCAGCACAATAATGACCCCTACTTTAGTATTTACCCAGTCCAACGCCAGACGATTTTTAATACTCAGTCAGTGCGTGGTCAGTGGTCAGTGGTAGGGTACTGTCAATAAATGGGTTAACAACGATGTTAACAATAATAGGATGTTTCCGAAGGACTCATTCAACACCCTGTAGTCTGTCTTTTGCTGCCAAAGGCAGCATTAATACTGCCCTGTGGGTAACCTAGTCATTAAATTAATCTTATATGTACTATTTAATTAAAACACGAGTAGGGGTGTTTTATCAGATATAAACGCGTGGCGCAGCCGAGCGTTTTATATCTGATAAAACACGATCCGACAACGAGGGTTTTGAATAGCTTAAAATACGACTACAAAAGAATACTAATTAGGATGAACATTATATAATCATGCTAATTAGGATGAACAATTATATAATGCCACATGTGTTTTATCAGATATAAAGTCACTCCACGTGACATATTATGGCTGACATGATTTGCCACAAGGTTTACGAATTATTAATGAGTATTTTAATGTCTCTTAAATCCATTTGTTGTTGATATTTTCTTCAAGCGGGTAGGAATACCTTCCCATAACACATAACTTTTGTTAAGACTTTTTTTACATATGGTGACAAAGAACAGGATATACCATTTTTTATTGGGTCCACTTTTTTATGTCCACCCCCTGTAGATTGCCACCAATCTATATGAACGGTCTTTGTGATTGGTTAGTCATATATAAATCATCTTTCTAAAGAAAAAGTCATAAATCTTGATTACTATTGTTTTATGAAGTCACTCACAAAACACAATCATTCTAGGTTGATATTTACTCAAAATTATTAGTCCTTATAAATTGAAAATAACAATCTTTTTTAAAGATCGTTCTCTTTCCTTTCTAACAAACACTCATTTGTGTCTCTAGTGCAAGATACAAGATACAAGATTTATTTGCTCCTTTCAAATTGCAATTTATATACACAAAGAAATTATTTAAATTATAGTTAACATTATTATTATTAGTAAAATATATTTGTGATCTGTGACTAATTGTTTTGTAATTTTTGAGAAGATTTGAAAGAGAGCTGGCTCCCTGAAATAACCACAGGGCTATATAAATATCAGGAAACCAAATAAAGGACGAAAAAATTATGAAAATTGACAATATATGGTTCTATATCAAATATATTTAAAAGATCGAGAAAGGAGTCCTACATGACTCCCTATAACGTATAGAAAAAGTTGGAGTTGGAAACTGAATCAATACTTTCCAAGAAAATCGATTCTAATTTTATATTTAATTTGAGAAATCGGCAAGTCTTTATATGATTCATGTAAAGAATTCCAAATTAACTTCACAGTCAGAATACCAATTAACTTCACAGTCACAGGGGAAAATTTCATAGAACATGTACCCATAATTTTGCCGTCTAGTATTATCTGTACACCTTTGTAAATAAGAGAATTCGGAAATATTGGAAACTTCTAGTAATAGAGATGCCGCCGTATCAGAGAGAGGTGTTCGTACTAGAGAGGTGTCCGTATGGGAGAGGTGTTCGTATTAGAGAAGTGTTCGTGTTGAGAGGTGTTCGTATTTGTGAGGGATCTGTATTAGAGAGGTTTTCCTCAATATACCGCTACAACGCACCTGTTTGAGACAAGTATTGTTAAAGCAACGATGACAATATCCAATGCTCCACTGATGAAAAAGTTTAAGTATTTATTTCCAGCAAGACTTGAGATATTCAATGTCAGACCAACGTAACCCAGAGATATTGAAAACCTGAAAGATTACGAAATGGATATACCGTAGTCATTACACTTACACTGGATATCTTTATCAGTTCTAAACTTTTTCCCCAGAGGTCGAGAAATGACCATCTCTTATTGCACCAGAATTATAAAACCAGCGATGTTTGTTGGAGTGAACTAATTTCTGATATACAGCTAGGACAAATGACAATGCATGCAGATTAGAGAATCGAACACTAGTCATTGCGTAGAAAGTTAATTACTCAATGAATTTGAAAATTCATAACAACAAAATGAATGAGAAGAAAAGTGTAAAATATTTTGGCGTAATTATAGATTGTAATTTGAACTGGAAGGATCATGACATGTCTTTGAGTTATGCAAAAAATATCCAAAGGTATTGGCATATTATTTAAACTTCGTGATTTTGTTTCAATTGATACACTCATTCAAGTTTATTACTCAGTAATCTACCCATTTCTTATGTACGCTGTCCTGGTATGGGGACCGCATACATACAAAAGTAATTTGCACCCATTATTGATCCTGCAAAAGAAGGCTATGAGGATAATGACATTTTCCGGTTTCCGTGAGCACACTTCGCCAATATTTAAGGCATTAAACTTGCTAAAATTTCTGGATCTAGTTTATGTCAATACAGCATCATTCATGTTTCAGTATAGTTCGGGCGATCTCCCGGCTGATTTTTGTGGCTTTTTTACCTTGATTAAAAATAACCATGCATGACTATAAGATCCGTTTAGCGTTTACAAATGCATATGCTATCCCACCAGTTCGTACAAATTACGGAATATTTAATATTATATTTTGTGGACCTAAAGTTTGGAGCTCTGTCAATGAATTTTTGAAGTCTCTGCGTCTAAAAACCTTTAAAAGAAAACTTAAAGAACATATATTGCTTTTTATTAATCCAAAAATTTAAAATGATGAAGATATTTTGGCTTTTTTTCTATATATTTTTTTCTATTTGTTATTTGTTGGTGTTTTGTTTCTTGTTCGTTTTCCTATAAAAATATTGCACAATCTTGACCAAACCCATTTACTTATATTTTGTCTAATAAAGGTCATCTGACTCATCGCCAGCCCCTATGGTTATTTCAGGTGGCCTGTATTCATCAATCGTAATTATTTCAGTATAATTACTGACGGTCATAATAACCTATTGTTTTCTCTCTGCATTATATCAGCGAAATGAAAAACGGGAGCGGTCTTTTTTGATTGTAGGGAAATTCCCAGGGGTAAATATTTATACGGGCTAAAATATAGCACACGGCATTATTAAAAATAATGCAGCGTGCACACAGCATTATTAAAAATAATGCAGCGTGCACACAGCATTATTAAAAATAATGCAGCGTGCACACAGCATTATTAAAAATAATGCAGCGTGCACACAGCATTATTAAAAATAATGCAGCAGCGTGTATCAGTGCACACAGACATTATTCGCAATCCTTCGTCATCCTGACAAGTACACGCGATAATGTGAACATCTCAAGATGAGAAGTTGACAGTGCTAAAGGCCCCTCATACAATATCATCGGGCGCCTGAAGCACTGCCAAAACGGTAACCTGAAGTTCAGATTTTAATTTAGGGCGATTAATTAAACTGAAATCTGTTCTATCACGATGCATTACATGCATGTCCTCACAAATGTCTAGTGTAACGTTGGATAGATTCATTGTCATACGGTCCCAACAAGCAGCAACGTAGTCTTCCAGCCGAAAATAATTACTTTTGATTCTGGTCAGTAATTATAATAGATAATTACTTCGGCCAAACGGCATTATTCGATATATTGCAGCCAGCTTCGGCCTTCGGCCTCAGCTGGCTGCAATATATCGAATAATGCCGTTGGCCTCAGTAATTATCTATTAAATAGTGTGTTGTTATAGTGTAATGTTCGAGTACAAATAAATGTCAATACATTTATTTGTACTCGAACATTGTTGTTGTTGTTGTTGTTGTCGTAGAATTCTGAGTAAATTTTATAGAAACTATCAGCTAAAAATTAAATTGTATCTGAAACAAAAACATGGAACTAAACTAAAATTATTAAAGAGCAATTGAACCTGTGGGCTGTAGGTCTTCTTAGAAGCCTTTTAAAACAATTGTTGACATTTGTGCAGAGAGTAAAATGTGGTTTTAAGTTTGTTAATAAATAAACTTGACATATAATGAGGATGATAACCATACATAAAGCCTGCATGTACAGTTGACAGTAAGTAAGTAAGTAAGTAAGTAAGAGACTTTATTTATAGAGGATGACACTTGACTGTACGAATACTGATGACTCCGTGGTCCTCTGGTAACATTATTCCGTACAGTATTTCTAAGTCTAAGGATATTAAAATATATACATGAAGTGAAAAATCATTATAATAACTAAAAAATTAAAGTTAACTGTTTTAATAAGTGTTTTAGAATTAGGAAAGTTTTTGAGCATCTAAAAAGTCCTTGTATTGTTTATGTTTAAAACTATATAGGCTTGCAGAATTCCTGATTTTCACATTAATGGTATTCCAATCTTTGATAGCCCTCACCGCGAATGTTTCTCCACCTTCCGTTATTCGGTTGTATCGGGGACAGATCATGTTAATCTTGGAAAAACGCGTTTCTCGATTGTGAATGTCAGAATTTCTCACCAGCATAGAATTATTATATATAGGACAGTTGTATGAGTCTTTTACACGTTTATATACTATACTACTTCTTCTAATAAATAGTTCATCAGTGAAAGGAATCCAATTTAACCCATTGAAGAGAGTTTTCGAAGGCGTTGTCTTTTCCGCGCTTAAAATAATCCTTGCTGCCCTCTTTTGTAGTTTTAGTATTCTGTCAAGATTCTCTTTACTGCAACATGACTATACCTCATTACAGTACTTCCATACATAAGCTTCGGTTTAATGATCCCATTATAATAAATTTCTCGTTGTTGTTTTTTTAAGTATGGACTGATGTGTTTTATTATTACAAAAGCAATCATGACTTTCTAATCATTTCTCTGTTACTATTTTATACTAAGCAACTGATAGCATTCTATTATTCTCCATGTTAGTCATTTTTCGCGCATTTTGCATATTATCAAACATCTACAAGGTAAAAATTTATTATTACACAAAGTATATGACGATATGGTAACGTTTTGTATTAAATTCTATGTTTTCCCGCCATGACAGTATACAAGAACTGCCACGCTCCCCAGCACACATCCTTCCCAACAGCCCCTTCGCGCGTCGCCTTCCTACCTGAATACTTCATGTATTGTAATTATTTAAAGCGCCTGGGTATGAGGTAGGATAGCTGAGATGAAAGGTGCTGAGGTATCCAATAGGATAGCTGAGATGAAAGGTGCAGCCACGACGAATTGTGGACGGCGAGGTGCAGTTCAACATCAAGAAAAGGTCTTCTATTTTGTGGCTTTGAAATTTGCAGGGATTCCAGACCGTCGTGTCTTAACAGACTATGCTCGATTGAAAGCAAGGGGAAATGCTAAACAGTCACGTGGTAGACCATGGAAACGATGATAGAGGTTCGTATTTGACTTCAACTACCGCTACCACTGGCTTACACAATATGGGCAGCAAAATATTGTTCAGGCCTGTTTTTAACAACATTGTTGCAGGCTAGGCGTGTTTTCCAGTGTAGTACGGATCTGGGTAACCGGATACATCAAACACATTTGATTGGTACGTTAATGGTCCCTTTTTGCTAATATTGCATTCAATTTTCATCCAAATTGAATAGATTTTTCCTTGGACTATACTTCTCGTAGTCCGACAACTCTTCCTATATATTAATACTTTGGAGTTATAATAACAAACCCAGGTAGAAACATAATTCTTCCTGGCCATTGGCCGATTGCAGAGGTAAAAATTTAGGTGTAGATCGACAAAGGGGTCAGACCTCCGTAGATGTGATTAATCAGGAGTTTCTTGATCATCTTGGTCTCACTGCATGATAAACCTTAATCGGGAATCTTTGATCTCACTGGTTAACCCAGCTCAGATCTACTTCACCTATCTAGAATTTCTACAATACCAGACAGTACTTACCAAACCACCATCATAATCAAAGATCGTTTCCTCAACACTCTTGATTTGAAAATATCAACAATTGTAGAATTCTTGATGTCAGACTTGTTTTCAATCTTATTTACCGTTTTATCAAATATATCTTGTGGGAAAGTAATCTTGTTGAAAGAGCAGATGTTTCTAACGACTTTCTCTGCTTTGTCAAAGCGGTTATTGATTAGAAGCCAACGAATGGATTCGGGTAAACACCTATAGAAAAGTAATGAATGTTATCTCTGACATATCACATTTTAGGCCCATCGTTTCAACACTCCAGCCAAGAGTTTTTTCCCTTTATGTCACTGAACTCATAACTATAGGACTGGATAGAGCATGAGGGTACCCGGACATTTTGCCGAAAGACACTTTGCCGAACGGACATTTTGCCAAACGGGCATTTTGCCGACGGACGTTTTTGCCGAACGGACATTTTGCCGAACGGACATTTTGCCGAACGGACATTTTGCCGAAAGGACATTTTGCCGAACGGACATTTTGCCGAACGGACGTTTTGCCGAACGGACGTTTTGCCGAACGGACGTTTTGCCGAACGGACGTTTTGCCGAACGGATAGTTTGCCGAAAGGACAACTTGCCGAAAATAGAAATGCTATTTCGTCAAAATGTTTGGGACTGTGCTTCAATTCTCAACCACTGTGTAAAATAACCATTATATGGTCATTAGCAGTGCATAATGGGTCGTTAACAGTATACATAACCAAATTGACTATTAGTAGCTGACTTCATGATGTTGAATGATGTTATTCTTTATATCGCAAAATTTCGGCAAACTTGTCAAAAACTTGAAGCTACACTTCACTATCAAAGTTTCTGTCATCAAAATCGAAAATGACTTTAATCACAAAAATTTTGACCGTGTTAGCGAACCTATAAAGTTCGGAAGATATCTCCATTTTCGGCAAACTGTCCGCTCGTTGTTAGTTTTAAATCACTCTGCTCTTCCGTTGAAGTAATTTCTTCTTGTGCCCTAGTCTTTGCTCCTTGTCAACTTGGCCTTTCGCTTCGAGGAAGGCTTCTCCTTCCTTCGCTGTTGCTACCATAGTGTTGTCACGTTTGAGTTTAGCTACCTCTTCGGCCATTTTTCTCCACTTGGTATAAAAAGCATGTCATTCAATAGCTAAAATCCTGATCTTTCCAAATATGAAAACCAATTGTTCATACGCCGAGTGATTCACGTATAATAGCGCGCTGAAGTTCGATTACCTTTTTTTATACACCCTGTAGTGTATATAAGATATCTATGGTTCCAACCATGTTTTAACTTACATGATATAGTGTTGGGAAAGCATTAAGGACAGCTAACGAAGGTCGCGTACTGCCAACTCCAGGGAGTATATGACCCTCAACTTTTTACCCTCAAACCTCGACATTGTATTGCACCCTCGACACTCGACACTCGACCTCCCACGGAGCTAAGCTCCCTCAGACTAGTCCCAAGTCCTCTGTGCTGAAACACCCTTACAGACCATCGCAAATTGGTCAGTTTAAATCTAGGCAAGCTAACTATTCTGACAAGAAAATGCGAGTCTTCTATTTTCGGCAAACTGTCCGCTCGGCAAAATGTCCGTTCGGTAAAATGTCCGTTCGGCAAAATGTCCGTTCGGCAAAACATCCGTTCGACAAAACGTCCGTCGGCAAAATGTCCGTTCGGCAAAATGTCTTTCGGCAAACTGTCGTTCGGCAAGTATCTTTTGGCAAGCTGTCCGGCCACCGAGCATGAGTGCTATGCATAAATGCAAATCTACATTGGTCACATTGGTGTTGCTGACATGTTACTGATGTTAGAAAAGGTTCTTAAAGTTTCTGGTAGGAATTAAAAAATATTGCCTAGGGAGAAATTGGTTACTAATGACCTCTCTAATTTATTCTGACATTTGCCAGTGAATAATTTATGAGGTCACGCCAATATGGGAAATGTTCTGTTGACCTCCCGTGACGCTTATTGAAGCCACCAATCTACTAATCAATTGCCAACCAGTACCTACCAAACAAATCCAATTTGGAACAGGAAAACTGTGGTGGACATCAACTGAATGTAATGCCAATCTTTGATTAAGTAAGAGACCAGTGCCAATGACATGACTCCAGTCACCCAAAAAAACCCTTGTCCAATTCCGAAGAATGTTCTGTACTGAGTGGCGAATATCTCTATGTGACTGGTAAAGGCGGTAATTTGTAGACCCTAGAAATAAGGAAAATAAATCTTACAGTGCAGCTAACTTTATTATTTAGTAATTGATCCAATTCATGCTATAATTACTGTACCTGAAGAACGAATCCGAGGAAGAACCGAAAAACAACAAATGCGATATAGTTCTTTATAAAAAACAAGAACAAACCAAGAACAAATGGGCAGAACATTGTAAACAGAAACACAGGTCTTCTTCCATATTTGTCTGATAATGTTCCGAACACCAGACTCCCTAACGTTACTCCGACAAAATACATGCTTGTGGCTAGGCTGACTTTGTAAGCGTTGTCACAGACAAGATCCCACTAAAATGGAAGAAAAATGGAGTAAATGTTATTTAAAGACAGGATTAGGCGCCATAATTAGCCATTCCGAAGTTGATGAGTGGACTGGGGACGAGTGTTAAAAATTGCCCAAATTAAGAAATGAACCAAATCACTAAAAAGAGCACCTCAAAATTAGTAAGTATGCAAAGTTTGAAGACGTTTACATGAATACCCTTCGAATAACAAACTTTCGAAAATCGCGATATTTACTATGAAATGTATTGTAATTTGTGTTTTTGGGACGCGCGTCCCAAAAACAATCTTTTAAGGTAATTCCGCAGTAATTGTTCCCGAAATGAGAATGTGCTGAAACTTCCCAGGCACGGAGTTTATGATACACTTTAAGTAAAATCACACAAAAAAGTTGGGGTTACCGAACTCGTTAAGAAGATATGACAATCACAATATACCATCTTTACCACCAATATGGCGCCATCTTGACGCTCATTACGAGTAACAGTAAAATCACAACAGCCCGATATTTATTGACGTTTTTAGCGCGGATTTTGCTTTAGTAAACCTATCTTGTAATTATTTTTGAAAAAATATTGTGTTTTGAGCAAAATGAAACTACCAACGTGTACAATTCTGATCCACAAATGTCTTTTACACATTTCTTTACATATCTTTCTTTGAGAACATGCATTGATAAAGGAATTTTTTTCAATATCCAGGAATGATTTTTCTTTTAATTTCGGATATGAAATGTAAAATGCATTAAAGAAACAAATTATGAGTTAAAATACGGGGTCACCGATCGTTTTAGGGAATTGTGGCATTCAAACGTGAAATTCCAGTAAATAAAAATGCTACAAAAACACAGGAACCCTAGCTACACTTTTGTATGTCTTTTTTGAAAACATTGATTTTAACGTAATTCTTTGCACGAATGTACCCAAAGATGTTTTGAAGTAACATAAAATTGTCATAAAATGATATTTATTTTTAAACGCGGTACGTATAATGGATGAAATTATAAGTTATAAGATGTGCGCAGTAAAAGTGCGCAATGCAAAACTGCGTAATTACCTTAATCAGTAATTTCACAATTTTCGAAAGCTTATTATTCGAAGGGTATTCATGTAAACGTATTCAAACTTTGTATACTTGCTAATTTTGAGGTGGTCTTTTTAGTGATTCATTTCTTAATTTGGGCACTTTTTATCACTCGTCCCCAGTCCACTCATCAGCTTCGGAATGGCTAATTTTTGGAATATTAGCCAGTAACGTACTCCAGACTCAGATTGCTACAATCGTAATCAAATTACAATGTCAACTCTCACGGACACAAATTTAAATCTTATTAACGTTATGTCGATGGCTGTGGATTTACTGCATGCCTTCACAAGAAATTTGTAACTTTAGCCGAGTTCTTAATTGAACTAAATTTTGAAATTTTTGAAACGCATATTTTGAATTCAAAATTATCCCCGTTCACTATGGACGTAGTGTCGCTCTATGGCTCCGGAACGTCTGCAACAAGGGATCCAGTGTAGGTAGCATTCTAGCCGCTAGAATGTACAATAAGCTGCCATGGTTTGTGGCTGAACTACCTGAAGATTTAACTTTATTATAAAATGTATTAGTGTTTCGCCGGGACAAAAAAGTGACCGTATTATCGAGGTGACCGTATTAACGGGGTGGCCGTAAGGCGGGGTTCCACTGGTGGAACCCCGTTAATACGGTCACCAACGGGCCGAAATAATATGGCCGTATTAACGGGGTGGCCGTATTAACGGATGAGATCAAATTTCAATTGTGACGTCATTAAAGCTATGTTTATTCGAAAATCACAACACCATACCCCACCATAATACCAATTAATAACTAAACATTATAAAGTTCAGATAAAGTTTTCACTAATTTTAAGGAAACAATGTTAGGGAATACAACGTCGCTAAAGAACCTTGTATTCTTTCTTTTCCTTTGCGCGACTGATAATAAAAATAAAAAATTAGTAATATGATGCAACTTGAATTTTGTATTTCACTGCACAAGGTGTCTTAAATTATACTGCATTTCCGTCCGTAAACACATTTATTTTTTTGAGTGACCGTATTAATGGGGTGATTTCTTTAGTTCGGGACTCTACAATATGGCCGTTGGCCATATTAACGGGATGGCCGTATTAACCGGGTAACTTTATTATAAAATGTATTAGTATTTCTCCGGGACAAAAAAAGTGATCGTATTATCGAGGTGACCGTATTAACGGGGTGGCCGTAAGGCGGGGTTCCACTGTAAAAGATATCTCGATCGTGGGGTCCAGTGCAGGTTATATATTCTGCAATAAACTGCAATGATTTGTGTCAGATCCAACTGCCTGCAAAGGATTAGCAATATGAACTCAAATTCTCTGTGCCGGTGTAGGTAGAGACACAAACACCAGAGAAATGCAGATTGATGCAGATGGATATAGTAGAACTTAAGTTTAGATTAAGTAGAACTTTAAAACGTTTCGAGCGAAGGCCTTTCGTCGACGTTTTACGTCGAAGTAGTTGAATCTATGGTCATCTGCATTTCTCTGCTGAAATGTTTAAGGTCCGATCTCGAGCGTGATAGTCCAGTGTATGTAGTATAGTATTATACAATATAAGGTGTCGTGGTTTGTATCTCAACTATCGGAATAAATTTGACAAATTTTTACCTCAGATATTATAGTCGCTTCTCCCTCAGGGAGGTCATAAGTCCAACCATTTGGGCATGGTATCATTTCTGAAGTATTATAACCATCAAACAGATGACATCCATCCTGTATTGACTTTCCATTTTTGCTTTTCAATGGTACCAGTCGGCTGACATCTGTGCTGTTTGCTACTGTGCAATGATGTTTAGTTTTCGCTCCTATAAATGCCATTCCAAGATGGTTCCAGCATGTAAAAACCCAGGTGGTGGAGAGATATAAGTAGAGGAGGACTTGAAATTTGCCTGGTTTGCCCAGAGAGTTTGTCAAAGTATCCGTTGACATTTTTAGAGGATTTCTTTTGAAGTATATGTAACTTAACTGATTTACACCCTAAACTAATAAAAACAAACTTAAAGATTAACAAAATAAAAGTTTGGTGAGTGTTCCAACTATAGATATCTTATATACACTAGATAGCGCATCTCCTTGAGCAAAATTGAAGCCAAGAATATTCCAGCGGTTACCCCAATTTGAATAGATGGCGGCCATGTTGGTCGTTGCCGGTCGTTCCCACTTAGTAATAAACGCTTACAAACAACAATAACTTTCATCATTCGAATAGCTTAAAAATGTATTTGGAATAGGGTTAACTTAATGTTTAAGTTCCCTGTTTAAAAACTGAATAGTCTGAACACAAAACATATGAATCTTCTCATTTGATGGGAACGACCTGAGACTGCAATCATGGCTTCAAATCCTTCAATTTTTGAATTGCAGAATAATTAGATGCACTATCTACAGGGTGTATACAAAAAAAGGTAATCGAACTTGAGCGCGCTATTGTATCCGAATTACTCTGCGTATGAACGAGATTTTAACACATTTGGAAAGATCATGCTTTTAGCTGTTGAATGATATCTTCTTCATGCCAAATGGATAAAAAATGAGCAAATACGAATCCGATAAAAATGTTAGTCAGAATCGCATATTTTCACCGTTGAGAGTTGGGTCTAAAACCATTGAAAATGAACCCCCTTTAGGACTTAAGTTGATGAATTTCACTTCATTAAACTGCACACATATTCATAATTATTATTAAGTAGGAATAAATCTTAGCTAAGCTACGACACGTTCGTGATTAATTGCTTTTTCTTTTGTTATGCATTGTTTTAATTAGGCACAGAGGTGAAAATATGCGATTTTGACTAACGTTTTTAATCGGCCTCGTACATGCTTATTTTTTCTCCACTTGTCATGAAAAGCATGTCATTCAATAGCTAAAAGCCTGATCTTTCCGAATATGAAAACCAATTGCTCATACGCCGAGTAATTCACGTATAATAGCGCGCTGAAGTTCGATTACCTTTTTTTCTATACACCCTGTACATTATTACTTACACAGGATGCATGAAACCGGACGAAAGGAGCATGCGCAGTTAGCCGTTCGAATGAATCGTGTGAAGAAATGAGACTAATCGAATTTGTGTTGGGTACCAGAGGTTTTTCCAACGCTCGCAAAAAAGCCCGCAAAATATAGCGACGGGCGAGCGGTCGCTATTTTTGCCGTAGCTATATTTCGCGGGCCTTTTTGCGAGCGTGGAAAAACCTCTGGCACCCAGGGTAGGTTTCCTGTGAACGTGGCCAAAATCCTCAATGTGAGTACAAGTGTAGGTAACGTGATGCTTTGTATTCCCCAGTATGAAACATGGATGTAACAACTCAAAACGTCAAAGTTTCTTTTCGTTTCTTTTCGATATCACTTATCCAAACCTATACAGAATCAGTAGGTGACACCGATGCGCTCTTCAACAAATCAATATCGGAATGAACCCTGCAGTAATTGTATTACTTACAGAAGTGCAGAAACATAACATTGGGTTGCCTGTCCTTGATAGCCTTGACAGTAGCATTATAAACAGCCTCATCAGAATGTTTGATACACCCAAAACTAAATGCACATTTCAACCAATCAGCAGTGCCATTAAAGTATGGCAGTTGTGCTCCACGGAACATGTGATCTACTGTCTCGTTGGTTGTAAAATGATGAAACCAGTCCCACGTATAGCCCATGTATACCTATAAACAGAAAGATATATATGTTATTTACCGGCTGGGAGGTCCGGATAGAAAAATATTTTGTCGAGGTCTCAAAAACGGCCCAAGGCCGAGGGACGTTTTTGAGACCGAGACAAAATATTTTTCTTTCTCGACCGATCTAAACGGTAAATAACGTATTTATTTTTTTGTCGAAGACTCAGAGGCAAATGGCAACGGTTTTATTAGATATCGCGTATAGAAAACAAAACAATAACAAAATTTTGATATTTAATTATTTTACTTTAGAAAACAAACAATTCAATTAAAATACAGTACAATTATTTTATCCATCATTAAAATTATTTCAAAATTACATATTCATATTTTTCAGTTTTAAAACAAACATACAAAAAACTTTTGCTTTGCTTCGGCCATTACGTATAGGATTCCGGACCGTGGTCAAATATCGTAAAACTCCGCCCGCTGCTGCAGCCAATCAGATTGCAGAAAACGCTAGGATTCCGCCCGCTGCTGATTTACAAAAAAATAAAATTTCAATACCAACGTTTCGTTTAATTTGAGACTTATTAAATAAGAGTTAACAACTCTGCTACACCTTCCTTCCCTCCCCATAATCAATGTTGGTTCATAAAAAACATTGATTTGGGAGTAGGCAATTTAAGGTATGTAATTTATTATATCGAAGCATAATATGAACAATTTCTCAACTAATTTGTACAGAGATTGCATGCAGGTGCTTGATAATCTCTGATACGGTCATATCTTAATAGCATTTGCTAATTTATCATTATAGTAACGTGAGCGTCATGTAATTTTCAGTTTCTTACTTCTAAATCTTTCTGTTTGTATATTACATCAAAGATATTCTCAGGTACTCCTTCGCCAGATATTGGTGCAAAATGACCTCGTTGAGTGATGTTTTCAGGTCGAGCATATTTTGGTGTCCAGTAATTTGCTTGGATCCCGGCTTCAGCTGGAGTCATACCAGTTATTAAGGTGCCCCAGTTTGACGCACTCACCTAGAAATTGGGTGTCAATAACAAAACTACATCATATACATCCTAACGTAGCAATATGGTAATCCAATTCAGTGATAATATATCTTGAACGTGCACGTAGATCCAGTGCAGGCAGTGTTGAAATTACAGTGTTTGTTGGAGGATTTTATATTGTTTTTATTCATAGAAATTATTTTGTGGTAGTCACATTCTACAGTTATCAAGCTTTTTAAATTATATTCTTCATGCAGATTTTTGCCAAAGACTGCAGGTCAGTTCAGATTCTGCTGATGATCGACAAAATCGTTGAGTGAACCCACTGCACTAGAAATTAGTCGTGTTTTGCGCACGCATGCAGTTCTCTTTGATTTTGATCCTCAATCACGACCCTAATCCTATATTGAGTATATATTGTGCGTGAAACATGAGCGTTGATGCAGTTGGTTAACCTGTGATGACAGACTAATGCCTCCATTAATGCCCCGGCCTATATATTGCAATCAGCGCTCCCTCCCCTTTTATAAAACCCGTTTACACTTGCAATTTTTGCTGCGATTTCTAGTGCGATTTTCTTCTTCTGATGGATGTGAACGAGTGAATAAGTTACGAATGCTCTGAGTATATATATCCTCATCTAAACATTCCTACCTCATCCATTCGTTCACATACATCAGGAGAAGAAAATCGCGTCTGAAATCGCAACAAAAATTGCAAGTGTAAACGCGCCTTTATAGGAGGGAACGTAAATGGCCTGGGAAGAGCATGAGTGTAAATCGCTAAAACGAGACAAGGCAAACAGGCTTCAAAACTTTGACAAAATGCTTGAAATACTCAGGTTTTTAATTATTACGGATTAACTTGAGAATAGATTAGATCGAGAGGAAATTCTTCCTTCCAAATTCCGAAATTAATGGATTGCATGAGGAACAAGTGACACTACTCAACTAATAACTGGTATCTATATGTAATACTCCTTGCCTCTTACATGCAGGTTAGCTACTGCATGCATGTACAGTACAAAAAAACAACTGATGAGTATATAATGTTAATTTTATTGTTGGGCTTTTTGTTCTTATCCTTACTGTTGGTGTTTCACATCTTGCTTTAGTTGTAAAACTTCCTTCTTCAAAAAATGAGCGAAATCCGGGATATTTTGACGTGACGTTTTCCAAATGAACTCCGCCGAGACCATCAATACCTAACACGTATCACAAGAGAGATACAGAACTAACATAAGAAGATATTTGGATATGAGCAAAGGAGTAAAAGGACCATTTGCATTAAAGAGTTCATGCATGGTATCCCCAAACTATATGGCTTATTATTGTTCATACATGAGCTGCATGCGTGCAGGATCCTCCCTAGTCTCCTGCGCATACCTAGATCCTCCCTCATTGGTAAATAAGTCAATAAAAATCCTAGCGTATGTAAAACCATCATTACGATTAAGGTTAGGACTTAGGATTAGGATTTATAATTAATTAAGGGAAGTTAGTTGTTAAGTTATTTTCAGACCTGTCCCATATTGTAATGATTTGAGAAAGGAGTTTGTGAAACTCACTCTGCACCAAATGCATTTTAGTTGCATTATTATTATATTTTCAGGCACAGCAATAAAATTAAAGAAGAGCATGCAATATTGATTCAAAACTAGAAGTGTTAGGCTGATTACTACAGTATAATTTATTAGTATTCAAAATTCAGCTAAATTGTGTTTTGCACAGTAATTCAAACAGTTTCAACTAAAGATTTCAATTCTAACAGTTTGAACTAAAGATTAAAGACAAGGTACAATGTAACTGAGTATAGAATCAATTGCAATGCAGCAATGAAGTAAAATATGCAAGCCAGGCTATGCCTAAGGCGAGACTCTTCTACATTACACAATAAATTATTAATCAAGGAACGCTCATCCATGACTATATATGTTTATACCAAACTAAATTATTGAACGCTTTTTCCTCTCCGCGTTGTTTCGCCCTGGAGTCTTTTTATAATTAATGAAATAGAAAATGCTAACAAAATTCACGAGGAATTTATCCTAAAAATTGAAGTGCAAGGTCATGGTTTGTGGGAGGGGTTGGGGGTTCTCTGCAGGGAATAGAAACGGTAAAACAAAGTTAGGCAATCTGTTTCTACTTCAGTCATTAGAGTCGGGCAATTTTGTTGAGCAGTTTGTTGGGACGTTAGTTGTAATGATGTCCTTGTAATACATACATGCACGCAAAAAGGACGTATTGTTCTATCCGCTACTATACTGATGTGTAAATTGTTTGTCGGGCAAAGTAGTATCAGCCCCCCAAATGTTTTTGCCTGTACGCCTATACTATATCTATAGTGCAAGAGTGAAATTTTGCAGTTTTATTGAAGACATACTGTAGTGCGTAGTGACAGAAGAATGCATGTAGTTAAATCACAGTGTGATAAAGCATTACACATGTCACTATTTAGTTCATCATGTTGCCTGTTGGAAGTTAGAGTTACAACGCTATCTTTACTTCAGCCAAATAACTTAATAGCATAAGCCTCTTTCTGCTTAAACAACTAGCTTCGCATACATATATGAAATTGAATTATTGCACGTGAGAACGTCATAACATTTTGAATATGATAGCATTGTTTTGGTATAGTTTCGGAAGTTTGTTCTATCGTTAAATTAAAGTGACACTATTATGATATGTTGTGATCATGACTATAAGAAGAATATCATTTTTATGTTTAATTAGCATCATAGATATCTTATATAAGATATCTATGAATTAGCATCCTCTCCGCATATTGGCTGCAAGTATAGATACATTGTACAAAAGTTAACTACAGTCTACAGCATGACATATGTTAACACACAGGGAGAAATTCGTCTAACAAAGGCATGACGATCACTGATATAGCCTGTTTGTCTCCAGTAATGATATATATACACAATAACTAAATTCAAAGGCGTGATTTATGACTGACCGTTTTCACCTTAGCTTTGTATCAGGGTAAGGCAGTGTAATTCATAGACTTAAAGTTTTTCAAAAAAGTTCTCAAAAGTGTAAAAAGAGTGTGGCGCGTTCTCTAGCTAGACAGTGGAGCAAAAGCCAATTAATCAATCGGAAATTTTGATCGGATCAAACACAGTATGTTTTTATTAAGATTTATTGAAAACTTGCGTTTATGCTCTGCATGTGAGCCTGATATAATTAATTATATGATTAGCGATCTTTCTATGCCTTCTTTAGATGTTTACATTGTCACAAGCTGTGAGCAGTAAGATATGTTTTAAAAGAAATAACTATATCGGAAAAGATCGTACACAGATATCATGCATGATAAAAATGATAGCATTCATAACTTAGGTTTGATACCGAGAATATAGTGGATTGAAGAATGTTTTGTTTTTTCATTGTCATTGATATCGATCAAATTTTCTTTTTTAAATAAATATCAGCTAGTATATATATTGCATTGCTTTCCTGTCAGCCAACTGATGCTGCTACATTATGCTAAACTTAGCCTGACCCGCACTGTATGAAATTAGATTGTTTAATTTGGCCTTAATTGATAGGTTTGTTATCAAAACGTCCCTTCGTTTCATTTACAAGGAACTGACGAAAAATGATATATTCAGTGTAAAATTGTGAGGGCCGTATGTTATATAACTATTTTGGTTAATAATAATACATTTCCCTCGTGAAATAAAGCTTTTTTACTAAACAATTGTAATCTCAGATGCATTAAGTATCAATACTATTCCGGCTCAAATATATAGAAATATAGAATTTTGACATCTGAAACAGCTGCTGTCGTGCTATGATGATAAAATGCAACCGATACATGTATTAGTACACTTTGAAAATATTCATACGGTTACCAATTACTGGCATCACAAAACGAGGATTAGTGTGCAGACGTGCTAATTTCTCGTGTACAACTTGTAACGTACAAAGTGTTGAAACAGTTGAATCAGTAATAAAATCACTGGCCTATGGCTATATGGTTCTTCATACGTATATGTCAAGCCAAATGGCAATATTTCTTACTGTTACTGCACTCAACGCTAGATCATGTTAATCTGTTTTTAAACACCTCACAATTTCACACATCAACAGAAATTGGTCTTTGGGTTGATAAAAAGCTTTAAAAGGGGGTCTAAGTCTCTAAGGCAGGGTCGACTGAGTTTAAAGTTCCTAGACACAACTGATATCTGAGCTGCCATAAACGGAAAACAGAAATTACTCATCAGTTTCTTTCTATTCCATATATAAGAGCGCAAAAAGGTGGAAACATTGATCATGAGAAACAGCAAGTAAATGTTTGCGAAGGGCACTATTGATTTATCGGCAATGTACGTTTACCCTAAGATCGGAAATGAAACAGTGACTGCGTAGGAATCAAATTGTAACTATATTTGAGGAGAGTGCTATCTGATATAAAAAAATTCGACAAAATGGATAATATTTTAATGGCAATGCTGCCTTGAAACACTGTTGTTGAAATCACAGTTTTTAGGTGGTACCGTCCTAATATAGATGTCAAATGAAGAATACAAAATCAAAGAACAAACAAAACATTTGCAAGCATTCTTACCGAAGATTAAGACGTTCTTGGCTGAACCATAACCATGAGTCTTGCTACCTGTGTTGTGAGGAACAGCATGCGTTTCCAAGATTAGGCTGATAATTAACCACACCAAATGAAATAACAGTTTCAGAGCTGCCATGGTTGATTCACTGCAAACTGAGTCGTGTTACGATATGTGATTACCGGATTACTGCGTCCTTTATACTGATGACACGACTGTCAACAACGCCAACTGTCTATTTGCATAATTTTCTGATTATGAAAGGTGAATACGTTTAGCCAGTTGCTAGGTTAAGCAAATAAGAAAAAAAAACTGTCATGACCCTTTTTGAAAGATATGCAACATTTCTGGTTGGATCTGACAGTTTTAGACTTAAAGACGCCATAAGTGAAAAATTGCTAGTCAACTATAATCTGGCTAAACTTTAAAACTGGACAAGAAAATAAGCTGGTTTAAATATGCAGAGTTTATTGTGTCCATTTTGGACTAATTTAAATACTGCATGAAAATATTAGAGTTGGTCTGATGGGTAAGGGGATTATAAATGCGACTGTGGTTAGATCTCTGTGCCAGTCTGCAGGTATAAATTAACGTCAGTAACCCAGTATGCCAAGTAAAGGCCAATGTGAAACACACACTGACAGGTGATATTTTGGCTAATATTAAATCACATGATTTCGTTAAAAAAAAGCATGAGTGCATAATTAATAAAATTTGTCAATTTACACATCTTCCTGGGGGCCAACCTTGCATTGGCCTTGCTCCAAGCAAGTCATGATTCATGAAACATCTGAACCAATATAATGCCCCTAGCTTAAATTGTATACTTCATGTAGTCCCGTCTTCATTCCTTACCAAACTAAACCTGTCTTGGGACAAATTAAGCCAGGGTTACTAGGAGAATTTGTTGTCACAAAGGTAGAAAAGGAATTCAGCAACGTGATTGGTTAGCGAAAAAAATCGCCGCGAAAACGTAGGAAGCGATCGTTGAGCCTTGGTTTCTTTGGCCTTGAACATCACACCAGGGCCCCAGTGGTGTAGTCCTGGAACGCTAACTAGGGAGAGTTTGGCTTCCGACAACGACAACGACAGAAAACAAAGCAGTTACTTACATTCAGTGTGTATGCGAATCAAAGCATACATTGCTAAACTTTATTTGTCTCTTAAAAATATACTGTACTTATCTTTCCTTTAAACAAACCTTTAGGTATAATATATAGCCAGTGAATTCACATAAAACACCCCACAAGTACACGACTTCGAACGTTTTAACTGTTGGCGTGATTATGAGCCGTGAAAATGTGTGAATAACGTAGCAGAATAACAACTACGGCGTACTAGAATGCTCGAGGGAATACATAATCAAAGTCGCCTTTGTCTTAGAATAAAAGTGCTATGTTAATGAGCACGTCTTCATTGACGTTCCCATTGTATTTGTCAAACTCACTAAGGTGGCTCTTAAGGGAGCGGGTGGGTGGGGCTGAATTAGGCGTGGGAGTGACAAGGCTTGGGGGTGATAAACATTCAGTATTTATTTTTGCTTCTAGTTTCTTCAAGATACAGCTAAGCTGTTGCATGTTAGAGCTACATAAATCATATAATGGTAAGCCTATCATATCGATTTTGTAGTTGTCATACAGGTGTACAAAACACATATAGTCCTCTTTTCCTATGGATTTTGTCTTTGCTTTAATCCCTAGTATTCTGGAGACTTCTGTTTCTTCAGAAGTAAAGATTCTTAATGAAGATGAAATTTTTGACGTATTGTGAACATTACAATTTGCTCTTCTGTGTTGAAAGTCCTTTGCCATGGCAACAACTCTCTTAAATCTGGAATAGAACTTCCCCTTTTTAGAATTCCATTTCATATTTAGAATTGAATGAATGGATCAACATATCTGTCAGTTTCCGGATGTCCAGTCAAGAACTGTGTCTTTGTGAAAAGAGAAATATTTGCGCATCCATTGCAATTTTAAAGGCGTCCTAAATTTGTTAAAAATAACTAATCAAATTTGGAGCAATATTTTTAATGAATTGGAAACATGATTGTGATTATTGATAATGCATAAATTATGCAAGACAACGCCATCTCATGGGCCAGAGATCAGACACGAAGGCATCTCTCATTATCAACAGAGACATAATACTGAGAGTTAGTTGAAGATGTAAATAACGCCGGTGTCACAGGAAATCCACCGCTTGAGAGAATTTCCCCCTCTCAATTTTAATCCAAAGCGAAATAAGTCAAGACGATAATGAAGTATTTTTTTGTATTATGATACCCATAACTACCATGGCAAATTAATAAAGCGGGTTTAAGCTTTTTAGCAATTGCCAACACAAGACGACATACGAAACCAGAAAACTTATACATAGTGCCAAAGTATTCTCCTTGTATTTTTCAGGAAGTTGTATCGCTATCAATCCGAAGCTTTCTTACATGCAGCTATACTACAATGTGCATCCCACTACTTAATTGCGACTAAACAATGTAGACAATGTAAACAATTACCGTGCATGGAATATTTTGCAGATCGTCGTTAAACTTTTGGCATGTAAATTTGGATCAGTCACAATCAATAATTAGGTTATTAGTTTTGGGCAGATATCTTATACACACTAGATAGCGCATCTCTTTTAGTAAAATTGAAGCCAAGAATATTCCAGCGGTTACCCCCATTTGAATAGATGGCGGCCATGTTGAAGTTTCCCACTCGCTAATAAACGTTTAAAAACAACAATAACTTTCATCATTTGAAAATGTATTTGGAATAGGTTTAACTTAATGTTTAAGTTCCCTGTTTAAGAAATAGAAAACATACGAGTATTCTCATTTCATGGGAATATCCTGAGTCTGCAATCACGGCTTCAATTTTTGAATTGCAGAATAATTAGATGCACTATCTGGTGTATATAAGATATCTATGGTTTTGGGTGGTGTTAATGTTGTACGAACTGTGTCATGACGTGTTCCTAAAGTGGAGGAGGGGGGGGGGGGGCATACTCCTAGGAAACTTCTCTCCACCTCCCGGAGGGCGATATTCTCAGAATGACATCGGTTGTACACTAGCCTATGTGCACAGACAAGAGTTAAACGGTAAACTTAAATTTTTGGAAGACAACAGAACCAAATTAAATTAACAATAGTGAATAGTGATAAAGTATAGTTTCCCTTTTGTAAATTGTCCATGCAATTTCATGCATGCAGTAATTTGACAGAAATTCAATTGAACCATACGAAACTGTGCAGACTATCATATGGAGTTAATGAAAGGTTTCACCACAGTTAAAACTTTCGGGCAACTCTTATACATAATGAACAAGCTTTCGATAGTGGGGATGCAACTACCTGAAAATATACCGTATAAGGAGAATTTCGACGTTTCGAGCTTCATCATCGTCATTGAGGCAGTGGAAGTAAACTGAGGTAAACTCTCGTCTGTTATCTGATAAAGATGCAGGCATTGGAATTTCTTTCAAACAGCTACCCCATCCGATTGTTGGGACTCATTCACTATACAAAAAGACTCGAAAAGACAGTATAGTATCTACAGAATACAGGTGTATCGACTACTTGAGTATATATCTGTCAAAGTGCCTCTTTAGGCTCTAATCTAACACCTTGGAAAAAAGACGGGCATAGTGCAAGGTTTTGAACAAAATATAATCGAGTATAGAATATATACAGCTTAATTTGGATACAATCAATATCAGTTCTGTCATCACATATAAGAATTTTATCAGTTTACAGAGGTGATATATAGTCTATAATTAATAGGTGTATCATGCACTGCATGTGATGACATCGAAGTCAGTCCAATTCAGTGGTCTTTTAACATATTTGTGGTACAGTAACATTGTATTCTTCATCAGTTTCAATACCAACATCCTCCTAAAAAATCAGAACAAGCATATATATAGAGGATATTACACGGCGGCGCGAAGATATGATTTTTTATCTTCGAGTGGTGAAAAAAAATATTTTACGAACGAGTGGCAGTGAGTAAAATATTGTTTTTAACACGAGAAGGTAAAAGTCATATCTTCAAGCAAACGTAATGTTCTGTTTATTATAGTCCCAAGCAAAAAATTGTATAAATACTCAAAGTCACGTGATCGATATCTTCACTAGTGAAGATATGGAAAATATCTCACTGTGTAATTTTCAGTACCTCACTCTCTACTATATAATAAATATATTTATTATATAAACATGAGTGTTATATAGAGTTTTTGGCCACTGAGAAAAATCGTATTTAAACACACGTAAAAAATACGATATTTTTACGTGTGAAAATATCATTTGTTGTAAAACGCATTGCCACGGACGTTTTATTGTTTTTCACTGAATTTTGTTTATATAATAAACAGAAAAATACATGGGTGCTTCTGCCTCGTACCCAGGCGCTTACATGAAGTATTCGGGTAGGCAGCCGACGCGCGAAGGGGCTGTTGGGAAGGGTGCGTGCTGGGGAGCGCCTGGCAGTTCTTGTATACTGTCATGGCGGGAAAACATGGAATTTAATACAAAAAGTTACCATATCGTCATATACTCTGTGTGTAAAACCTTACTTTGTGATGAAGAGTTGAATTGAACGCCATTGGCAAATAATAATACATTTGTAGATGTTCGATGACATGCAAAATGCGCGAAAAATTATGAGTAAATAACATGGCAAGTTAACCGTGCGAATATTTCGAAAATGTCATTCGGTACTACATGGAATAATAGAATGCTATCAGTTGCTTACCATAAAACAGTAACAGAGAAATGATTAGAAAGTCATATAATTGCTTTTGTATTAATAACTTCTTTAGCTGAAAGCTCAATCAGTCGATCACAATGCCAATGGCAAATTCTATTAAATGTATACTGTAAACAAAAGCCCAAGTAAATAAAAGTTCACAGCCGTAAAGTTTGAAATATTTATTACAACAGTGCAATTTTATAGTCTGTACCTTTATATAGTTATAGCTTACAAATCTAGTTCCTGCAAGTCTAGTTCTTCAACGCTTCGGTTGTTGACATGTTAATATTGGAATTTCCATGGACTTTAAATAAGGCATATGTCATATATACCAAGAATAACAGCATGAATTTACGCCAGGATGACAGAAGAATATTAACATTAGTCAATTCAACAAAAACAAGTAGCAAAAAATCGTAAACGACAACGAAATAGCACAACTTGCAAGAAATCGACTTTCTTGCAAGAAATCGACCAAGAACTGCCAGGCCACAGAGTAAGGATATACAGTATACTCTGTGGCCAGGCGTCTCGCAGTTCAAGTGCACTCTTCCCATGAGCCCCTTCGCCATCTCTCCCCATTACAATACTTTATGTAAACTCGTCATATGCGCATCACTGTTTTTTTTACAAAGAGACGCCTGGGTACGAGGCAGTGGGTGCTTGGAAATACCAGATTTATTTCTCGTGTTGAACATGATATCTTACTCGTTCGCTGCGCTGACTCGTGAGATACAGGTATCATGTTCAACACTCGAAATAAATCTGGTATTTCCGCGCACCCATGTATTATTCTCTATTATGGAATATATGTTTTCTAACGTAACTATAACTTAAAAAAACTCATTACTAATTCATAAGACAAAGGAAATCACTACCGTGTCGGTGATTTTATATGTCATAAAAATGATGATAATTTACATAAACGTGAGCTTAAACAACGTTTATTTTTAAACTATTACTTCGCCAATTAAGCACGCGGTATATCTGATAAGCACTCCTGCATGTTCGTGCTTTAAAAGTGCTTACTCGTCTTATTAAAAAACTAATTAATAATTCATGAGAAGACAAAGGAAATCACTATACCATGTGTGACGATATAAAAATCATGTTAATTTACATAAACTTTAGCTCCTAAAGTTCCAAGAACGCAACTGTGAAAGCGTTTAAAAGCCTTGGTTAGAATGGTAGAGAAAACAGTGGCCACATTCCCTGGAAAAAGGACACTATACTATAGTCTATACTTACAATAAACTGTTTTTTAGTTTTGGGATAACTTTCAAGAATAGCATCCATCATATCTGATGCCTTAATGAAAGAAAGAAACATAATCAAATTATAAAACAAAAACAATCTAATGAGTAATGACTAATGTATAGTAAAATTAATAATGATTAATAATGTATTAAAAAATTAATTAGCCTAAATGTTATATGTATAATAGGTATATGATGTTTTCTGTGTTGGTGTTGTGTACTCAGGTGAATAATAAGTTTGCGATGTTACTCTGAGTGCATATCCACACCGGGCGAGCTTGAAAAATATGCCCGGCCACGGTGGGATTCGAACCTACGACCTTTGGAATACTAGCCCAATGCTCTTCCAACTGAGCTACGCGGTCAGGACGGTTCGAGTAACACCTGAGTACACAACACCAATGACAGAAAACTTCATATTACTAGAACACATTGGTATTGAAGGAACTAGATACTGTTCCGAAATATCACTTACTCGAACCGTCCTGACCGCGTAGCTCAGTTGGAAGAGCATTGGGCTAGTATTCCAAAGGTCGTAGGTTCGAATCCCACCGTGGCCGGGCATATTTTTCAAGCTCGCCCGGTGTGGATATGCACTCAGGTATATGATGTCTGATGAGTGATGATAAGAAAATATGCAAATATGCAATGCAAGGCAAAACAACTTTATATATTATATAAAAATACAATAGTCAATATATTGTATTATTGAACAAAAAATCAAGCGAATAACGAATTTATGTTCGATCGTATACGTACTATACGCTTTCTTTTCTTCCACGTTTGAACAACAGTTTTTCGATTCTTTATTATCTGTAACACAAGAAAGTAAATAAATCATGGTACTTTATTCAACTTATCTACCACAATTATGTGCATGTTATAGAGTAGTCTAATATAATTCCATTATCCATGCATGCACAACCTCGCACTCGTCTGACTCGCCTTCGATATGTTTTTAACGCATTTGCGTAGCTGATCACTGTAAGATATACCGTTTATACATTTATACTGACTCACCTTCTCCTTTTCAGCTGGTGGAATATGATTTGAAGCTAAAGGGAAAAAACATTAACTTACAGATTGTACTAACCATTGCAGCCGACAACAGTGGCTTTAAGCTACAAATTGTTACATAAAACATAATATTACCTGATTTAATACGTTTCAAATGCTCTTGATATTTTCTGCACTATATAAAATACAGATGTAACAGAGATAAATAGAACATTCACCCAATTATATATGAATTAGTCCTATCTTATTACAGTTCTGGTCAAAAATCCTTGACACACTTAGCAAACATCAACAAATTGAGAATTTCAAATTCAAATGTTTTCCGAATTGCATGTATAAACCCCCCTCCTTATACAACGTTTCCCTTTCCCCATACAATGGTGGCCCCACCCCGTACATACTACAAAGTCCAGTATCTTGTGAGTCAATCAGGCACAACGAAGTTGTTCAATCAAATAAATATCTTGGCAGTCAAAACAGGAAATAAAAGTATATTATTACATTTTCATTGAGCTCTGCAAGTCTTGCGGTTGCTTCCTGTGTTGTCAAGCTGCTCTTCAAAACTCTAAATTCTTGAAACAAAAATTATACACACAATAAATAGGCGTTTTAAAGTTTCCGAAGAATTAGAGCTGTGAGCCGGAGTGCCGGCATATTTTGCCGGAGCCGGAAAACTCCGGCAAAAACTCCGGCAGACAAAATTATTTCATATTTCAACGAACATTTGGCATTAAAAGGGAAAATTAAGTTATTGTTTACTAATATATTACTATTTATATGTTGTTTTACTATATATTACTGTGTGGTTTACTATTAATAGTGCTGTAAAAAGGTTTTAAAAAAAGATAAATTCTGAAATTACACTGAAATACTTTCGCCTTCTTCCACTTTTAAATATGGAATTTCCTTAAAAATTTCTTGTCGGAGCCGGTGTCCCAGGATTTTCGCCCCCCCCCTATATTTTCGCCCACCGGGGGGCGAAATTCCTAGGAATATCGCCCCCCCCCAGGGGGGCGAAAATCCTAGGAATTTCGCCCCCCTTTAGGAATTTCGCCCCCCTTCAGAAACTTCACCTTTTCTTTAGGATTTTCGTCCTCCGTTCAAAATTTCGCCCTTCCTAACAGTTGCATGGGATAATTATTACATGGCTTTAATCATTTGAAATCAGTATCAATTCAAAATTGTTAAGACAGAGCTTGAAATAACAACCGATCACCGATCAATGATCGGCAAGGAATTGCTTATGATCGGCGGAAAAGCAGGGTTTCGGTTTCCAACCTGAAAAAAGCAGGGAAAGTCGCGACTGCCGATCACCATGATCGGGAACTTTGGGAACGTTATTTCAAGCCCTGCATGTAAGAATACAAATTTACAATTACATGTATCGAAAGGGCTTTACACAGTTACAGTAGATGAATACTCAATAGGACTTATGACGCTTCACAGCACACCACGCATATTTTGCATTTTCAGTGTTAATCCTTAAACTCATTGTTAAAAAGTAATCACCGTGGTGGTTATTGTAATTATTGGTATTGTTTTGCATCCACGTTTTGTCGTTATCGGAAAATGTATGGTTTGTCACTATTTTTTACTTGCATTATTTCAATATAGTTTGTAAATCTCAGATGCGAAGGGTAGAACTTGCCAATAGGCAATAATCCAATAATATACGCTTCAAAAAAGACAAGAAAGCTTTTAGTTTTGTTTGTTTGTTTGTTTGTTTGTTTGTTTGTTTGTTTGTTTGTTTGTTTGTTTGTTTGTTTGTTTGTTTGTTTGTTTGTTTGTTTGTTTGTTTGTTTGTTTGTTTGTTTGTTTGTAGCATTTATTTCAACACGATTAAATTCGCAGCATAGCTGATGTGGTCGTGCATTTACATAGTTATGTGCCTAACCCACCCTGTCAACTTTCCCTGTGGGAGGAAACACGGAGTGCCCGGAGAAAACCCACGACTTTCGGCAGAGCGTTGACTTACTCTTTTCACATTAGGACTGGGTTCGAGTCACAATGAGAAGTCCTCATCGAGATTCGAACCTGCGGCCTTAGAGGTGAAAGGCAAGTGCGCTAACCACTTCGCCACCGAAGCCCCTTTTGCAGAGTTACATTCTCAAATGTTTAAGGCATGCACTAACAAAATCAAAGTATCATGAAATGATTTGAATAAACCACACCACATATATAATGCAATTTTCTTTGCGGAAGTGAAGAATCAAGATTACATCACTGACACAGAAAGTTGACGATTCAACGGACAATAGTCAATACGCTTCCCAACACATTCCATAGATTTTTTACTAATCCTATAGTTTATTGTTAGCAAGTGATTACTGTGACGGCTATTGTTAACACTCGTATTGATAAAATTTTCAAGCGATTGTTTTTATAATATGTTATGTGAATGTAAACTGCCAGAAGAATACGACAACATGATTTTATGCGATCTCTGTGATAGTTCCACTTTAGATGTGTAGAATAGGACACTAGTCTAAGTACCTCAAATGAGTGGTTATGCAGCTGGTCAGCTGCTAAGAAGCTTAAAATGTGTATGTAATTTTGTCTCCTTGTAATAAATAAATCACACAATAAATCTTTCAACTTGCAATCGTTTTGTTTTTAGATAAAAAAATCAAAATTTATATGGGGGAGCTAGGGGGCGAAATTTCTAAAGGGGGGCGATATTCCTAGGTTTCCAACCTGAAAAAAAGCAGGGAAAGTCAGTCAATCTTTTTCTAATCATTTCAAATCATTCCAAAACTACAGAAAATGTATTCTAAGCTTTCTTTAAGTACTTGGAATATAAATGGTTTAAAAAATTGTACGCTTGGTAAGAAACTAAGCAATAGTGATTTTATAAAAAATATTGAAGATCATGATTTAATCTTTCTTGTTGAAACATGGTCAAATGATACTAACAGCATTCCTGGTTTCAAGGCAATATCCACAGTCACGGCAACACCCAAGTCAAACTTTGCTTGCCGTTTGTCTGGTGGAATTTCACTTTTGTTCAAAATAGGACTTGAAACTTTTATTTCTGTTGAAAAACGTACCAAAACATCTTTATGGTGTCGAATAGACAGCACAATCCTAGACTCCACAAAAGATCTATTCATCTGTGGAGTCTATATTCCACCGGAAAGGTCATCTTATTATGATGAAGAAATCTTTGATGACCTTGAAAATGACATAGTTTATTTCTCAAAAAAAAGGAAATGTTATGCTGCTGGGGGACTTTAATGCCCGTACCAGCAAACTTGAAGATTTTGTCTCAAGTGAAGGAAATACCTTCATAAATGACATTACTGAAACCGCTTTCCAACCAAAAATAAGGGAAAGTTTTGATAGTTATATTAATAAACATGGAAAAAATCTGATTGAGATCTGCAAAAGTTGCAACCTAAGAATTCTGAATGGTAGGACCCTTGGTGACTCATTTGGTAAACCCACTTCACACAGTAAAAATGGCTCAAGTGTGGTTGACTACATAATATGTGACCAAGAATTAATTAACTAACCCAATCCATTGAAAACTTTATTGTTAAACCTCCAACTTATCTATCTGACCATAGTCAACTAGTGACATGGATTAAAAGAGCTCCCACTCATGTCCCTCTCAGTGAGACTACTCACACGCAACAACCTAAAACACATAAGCTTCCACCCCAATTCATATGGGACAACGACTCAATGATTAAGTTTACAGAAAATCTCAAATCATTTCAAACTCAACAAAAACTTCAATACTTGATCAATTCCAATCCATCTCCCTCAAAGGAAGGTGTTGACAGATTTGCCTCAACAGTAGAAGATTTAATTATGCATGCTGCTAAAAAATCCATGAAAATCAAAAAGAAGAAATACAGAAACAAAATTTCCAATGTCTGTAACAAAAAATGGTTCGATAAAGAATGTCGACTCCAAAGACATTCATTGAGAAAACTCGCAAACCAAAAACACCGTGATCCCCTTAATACCGAAATAAGAGACAAATACCATACCACACGTAAGATTTATAAAAACACTCTAAAACGCAAGAAAGAACTTTTTCATGAAAAGAAACTAGAAGAACTAGAAAGAGTTTCTGAAAATGACCCAAATTCCTTCTGGAAACTATTAAAGAACATGAGTGATGACTTTGAGGACCCTTCCATGAGTAAACCAGATGTTTCGGCTAACAGCTGGCTCACTCATTTCGAATCCCTGCATGCAAAACATACGTTAGACACAGAACAGAATAATATTTTACAAAAATTAACAAAACTTGAAGAAGAAATCCCAAATAATTTTCTTGATGAACCGATTTCTGAAGTAGAAGTTTTAAGTGCTGCAAAGAAATTAAAAAACAACAAATCTGCTTATTCTGACAGGATAAAAAACGAAATGCTAAAGTGTAGTGTCAAAATATTACTTAAATTATACCAAAAACTTTTTAACCTCATTTTAGAAACAGGGCATTTCCCAGATCAATGGTGTGAAGGTCTCATTACACCAATTTTTAAGTCAGGAGATAAAACTGACCCCAATAACTACAGGGGAATTTGCGTGACTAGCTGTCTCAGCAAATTCCTTTGTATTATTTTAAATCAACGGTTAAGTAAATTTAGCATTGATAGAAACATAATTCACCCATCCCAAATCGGATTTCAGTCGGGCCACAGAACAGCTGATCACATTTTCACTCTTAAAACAATAATAGACAAACACATAAATGAGAACAAAAAGGAAAAACTCTATGCATGCTTTGTTGATTTTAGAAAGGCTTTTGACTCTGTTTGGCATGAAGGCCTTTTTTTAAAACTGCTTGAAAACAAAATTGATGGTAACTTCTACAACCTTGTTAAAAGTTTATATTCAAACTCTAAATGCGCCGTAAAAGAAAGCAAAACTAATCGAACTGAATTTTTCTCATACTCCACAGGAGTGCGTCAAGGCTGTGTTCTGAGCCCTCTTCTATTTAATATCTACATAAACGAATTGGCAACATTATTTGACACTACAGATGCTGATCCGTTTATACTACCAAATGGAACTAAACTGAGTTGTCTTCTATATGCCGATGACTTAATTTTATTATCTCGATCAAAATTCGGCCTACAAAAATCTCTAGACGATCTCCATAGTTGGAGTAAAAAATGGCTCATGGAGATAAATTTGAAGAAAACACAAATAATGATTATTGAAAAACGAAAAACAAGAAAGGCAAGCCCAAAGTTTAATGTTGGAAATCGGAACATAGCAATTGTACAGGAATACTGTTACCTAGGAGTCAAACTAAATCACAATGGCAATTTCACTTTAGCTCTAAAGCAACTAAGTGAGAAAGCCTTGCATACTTTATATGGTATAAGAAGACAGCTCAACTTCAGCCGCCTCAATCCCAAATATGCCATTAAAATATTTGATTCTATTATAAGCCCGATCCTACTATACAACTCTGAAGTATGGGGGACATACGTGAAACACGATTTCAACAATTGGGACAAGTTACCAATTGAAAAAGTCCATCTTAAGTTCTGTAAAATATACCTCGCTGTCAGTAGGAAAGCAAGTAACATTGCTTCCAGAGCTGAGCTTGGAAAACTCCCTCTTATTATCAATGTATTCAAAAGGGTCTTCAAATACATCACTCACTTAAACTCACTTCCCGAAACAGCCATTGCAAAGCAAGCATTTCTAATCTCGAAAGATCTCTACTCTAGGCAGAAAACTTCCTTTTACGGAAATGCAATGGATACAATCAAAAATTTAAACCTAAATGAAGAAATCCCTAGTCTGGAAGCCGTAACGTCTGAACATATTGAAGCTATTACCAAAACCCTTGAGGAAAAATACTTGACATTCTGGAAACATAAACTTGAAAATTCATCCAAATTAACTTTCTATTCAACATTCAAAACGGACCACAACCTCGAAAAATACTTAATACTTATAAAAGACCCATACAAGAGAAAATGTCTTTCACGTTTTAGAGTTAGCAGCCATAACCTCCAAATTGAGATCGGGCAATACCAAAATACACCCCGAGAAGAACGCTTATGTGAAATCTGTAATTCAGGAGAGGTGGAAAACGAAACCCATTTCCTACTCTTTTGCAAAGCCTATGAGCATTCTCGTGAAGACCTCCGAAGTTCTTTAGAGAATGTCTCATCTAACGAGATTAAACTGAACTCTCAAACTCTATCAGCTGACTTAATGAAGTCAACTGATAGTGAAATCATAACTAAACTGTCAAAATTTGTTTATTCATGTTTTGAACAAAGGCTTAAATACCTTGAAAACAGGAGTGCTAGTTAGCATAGGTTGTAATAACCACCTTATTTGTAAATATTATACTTGTCTACATTCTTTCTTCTTATTCTTATTCTTATTAACGTTAATGTTATGTTAGTCTATTAAGTATTATTGCACAGTCATATACTACTTTGTAAATTGTATAATCCTAGTTTACCATAGTTCTCTATATATTGTTATAACTTTTATACGCTTTAGCAATACTGTACACTTATAGTCATGCTAATAAAGCTATTATTTACCTATATATAAGTTACCCCCAGGGGGGGGGGCGAATCTCCTGGGGGGGCGAATCTCCTGTGACACCGGAGTTTTGACTGCCGGAGCCGGTGCTAAAATAACCGGAGTTTGCACAGCTCTACGAAGAATCGCAATATGTAGCTCTATTAAAATGAGGCTTGAGCATTTCAGCAAAGTTTTAGGGGCTAAAATTTCACAAGTGGCTCATCTTGTGATCTCGAGCATGTGAAAGAATTCAACCTGGCCAACAACTCAGCCTGGGCTGAAAGCTCATCATGTATGTAATCATGTAATGCATGCGTCACTTATATCAGCAAACAGAGCCGCCGAGAGGTTGCGCGGGGCAAAACCTTCCAAGGGGGCCCCTATGGACGTCATAATCACAGAAGCGGTGTTT